TGACTTTAAAAAAGCCTGGTTTCTATCGACGCTTCAATTTAAAGTGCATTTTTTATTGATTTCCTGCCCCAACCAAACCAATTGACTCAAATTATGTACATTTAATTGCGCCAATACCTATTTGTCAGTCGATGTATGTACATTTAATTGCGCCAATCCCTATTTATCAGTCGATGCATGTATATTTATTTATCCCAACCCCTATTTGTCAGTCGATGTATGAACTTTTTTTTTTTTTTTTAATTATCTTCGCTTCCAACAAGGCTGCAAGCAACCACTAATTAGTGTTAGAAGTTACTGGAAGAGAAAAGATGAAGATTGTAGAGCAAGATAACAATTGACAGACGACTTAAATAATTGCAAATTATATGAATCAGGAAAGCAAGATGAAGGAAGCGAATTCCAAAGAACTGATGTTCGAGGAAAAAAACTAGACGAATAAGAGTTTTTGGAGCACTTAGGAACAGTAACAGAAAAAGGATGAGACTTAATTGAATGACGAGTAACATGAGAATGAATTTTAGTAGATAGCACAAGAGACGCTAGCTCTTTAGAGCAGTGCCCATTATAGTATTTGTAGAAAAGAGAAAGAGAAGCAACATTACGACGATGTGACAGAGGTTGAAGGTTGGCTGCAAGAGCAGGTCCAACTATGTTTACAATGCGTTTTTGCACCTTGTCTAAAAAAGAAAGGGCATCATTAGAAGATCCACCCCAGATATGGCAACAGTATTCCATATAAGGCTGGATTTGAGATTTATAAAGATAAAGAATAGAATCCAGAGTAAGAAAGTGACAAGCTCGATAAAGAGAAGCGACTTTAGCAGATGCTAATTTTGAAACGGATTTGATATAAGGTTTCCAAGAAAGATCAGAAGTAAGAGTTAATCCTAGAAGATGAAGGGTAGGAGACTCATTTAGTACATTACCGTTCATAAATATAGGAAGGTCTAAATTATTGCGATAACGATTGGCTGAAAAAAAATGAGTTTTATTTGAATTAAAGTTCACCAGCCACTGTGAGCCCCATGCTGTAGCAGAAGTGAGATCTTTTTCAAGCTCAGATGCCCCTGCAAGCAATCAGAGGGAGTTGGCTTCTTATCGTGAAAGAATAAATAGTATTATCATCAGCGAGCGATGCCACCTTAGATGTGAGAAAATCTGGAAGATCGTTAATGTAAATTAAAAAGAGTATAGGGCCAAGGATTGAACCTTGAGGAACCCCTGAGGTTACAGAATAAGAAGAAGAGTGCTGTACATCAAGGATAACTTTTATACTACGATTGGAAAGGAAGGATTAAATAATCTTAAAGATGTTTCCAGATACACCGAAAGAAGAAAGCTTATGGAGAAGACCAGCATGCCAAACTTTATCAAAAGCTTTAGAAATGTCAAGAGCGATGGCCTTAACCTCTCCACCTTTATCTAATGCGCGATAAAACCTATTAGTTATTACTGTTAGCAAATCAGCCGTAGAACGAGAAGATCGAAATCCATATTGATGATCAGAAAGTAGGTTATGAGATTCGAGATTAAGTGTTTGTTAATTAAAGATTCAAAAAACTTGCTTATGATAGGAAGAAGACTAATGGGATCGTCAAGAGGGAATAAAGGATTCCATGCCAACCTAAATCCACGAAGTTATGTAAGAAGCACATTTGTCAACAGGGAGACAAAAGATTTCTACCCAGGGGCCATCACGAAGAAAATCACGGAAAGAGTCCCAGTCAGCTTTAAAGTAGTTCTAAGATGTACAATGATAAGGGGATTCTGATGGTAAAGAAGAATGAGATAATAGTTTTAGAGAGACCAAACCATGATCAGAAGCACCTAAGAAACTGAGCAGAAACAAGATATAATCAGAAACAAGACATAAGTCGAGTAGAGAAGGTAAATGATTCGAGTTGTCTGGAAAGCGAGTTGGAAAGTTGACTATTTGAGTTAGGGATTGAGAGAGACAAAAGTTGTGGGCCTTAATGTCTGCGGAGTCATTGACACTAGAGCCAAGCCATTCAGTGTGATGAAAACCAACAACAACAATATTGGCTGATGGATAAAGAATGAGGGCTTGGTCGATATAATCAGAAATAACATCAAGAAGAGTGCAGTCTTGAGATGAAGGAGAGCGATATAGAACAAAGAGAAAGGTGATAGAGTGAAGTGGTGCTAAACAAAAGCACATAAAAGAGTAGGCTGTGGATTCAAACCTAGTTTCCCGACAAATGGGTGAATTCTTACAAATGTAAAAGCCTAGGCCAAGCATGTGACTATTGGAGTCTTTACGAATTAAAGGAAGATAGGCATCAACACTAAGATCACAAGATGAGACAGCTAAACTCAAATTAGTCTCACAAAGAGCAAGTAGGTTTGGTGAACTTTGCAAGAAATAAGACTCAACAGAAGAAAAGTTACTTCGTAGACCACGAATATTGGTGAATGATAGGTTTAGCGAACTTGGTGATGACTGTGGTTTTTTGTGTTTATAGTTTTTGTTACTTTATTCATTTTTAAATTTGTTAAAGAACTTGACTCGAAGCATAGATAGTACTCAGTAAACTGTTTTGTAGCCCAAGCAATTGTCTTATTTCCACTAATAAACCCTAAGCCGTAACAAAGGGCTCCAATGTGGCCTAGGCAATGCACACCAAAAAGTACAAACAGGGACACCATCCATGCGCAACATGGCACTGTTAGTACTCTGATATTTTTCAGCTGTTGATGGAATCAGCCTCTCTGAGAGCTACCACAGAGTTCGGGAAATCTGGCTACCAGCCGGGCTCAGAACCATAAAACTGAGTTTTAGAGCTGTACCCTTATTTGGAGATAATAGAATGAGTTGCCTAGTCATAAAAACAGAGACAAAAGCAAAACCCATAAATTGAGTCAAGAAGATCCAGCGTTCAACATCCTAAACTGGAAACAATGTATTTAAAATACATTTGCGCCAGCCTAATAGATGAAGAAAGGGTGCGAGGCTGGTCAACAGGTATAATTTGTTTACCCCTTAAAATCTTAAAATATAAAAACAACAATAAAAACTGTAAACAAATTAGAGTTCTTTCCTCAAGTTTTCAGACCTATGTTTTTATATGATTTAGAATCAGTATATTGCTCTCTATAAAAATCAATTATAAACATAGGGAGGGGGGGGGAAGAAAGTTGAGTAGTGCCTAACATCACATATAATAATACTAATAACAATAAGAATAATGATATATTATGAGCCTGACATTTTAAATACAGTATTTATCTAACAAATAGTCAAAAAGATGGTTTTTATATTGTGAACTAGAGTTAAGTGAAAATGAAGAGGTAAATTATTCCACGATTTTTTTGCATTGATTTGTGATAGAATTATAACTGTATTTTACCAAACAGCGATTTGGGATAGATAATTTAAAGATCGATGGTAATAACGAGAACTTTTTTTAGTGGTAAAAAAATTGGAGAATGACAGAGGGAGGTTTATTTGTTTATGATTCCAGACAAGTAGACAAATTAATAAATAAACAAGATCACACAATTTCAGTATTTTTGATAGAGGATGTCTATCAAAAATACTGAAATTGTAAAGGATGTCAGAATTAGAATTTGTGGTATATGTATATAAATATATATATATATATATATATATATATATATATATATATATATATATATATATATATATATATATATATATATATATATATATATATATATATATATATATAATATATATATATATATATATATATATATATATATATATATATTATGAGTATATCAAGTGAGATATTATAACTCTACAACTCAATATTTTCAAAAAAAACCTTTTTAATGAGTTCATATATATCTAAAACTAAAGAAACACATGTTAAAAGTTATAAAAACATTGTATGATTACATATAAATGTGTTGTCTGAATGAATATATATAAATATATATATGTGTGAAAATATATAAATATATTTACGCAATTATATATATTCATACATCCAGCTTGTATAAATATATATAAATGTGTTGGCTGACTTGGCCTTTATAAATGTTATATACATAAATGTTATATACTCTGTTAAAATTAAAGCAGTATCAAATACCAATAAAGCCATCTTGCAACTTTGGTAAAGCAAAATGAATATTACAATGCTCAAAATAGTTTACCAAAGCTTGCCAATCAAATGTAATTTTTTCATTAAAACAGGTTATTTTCCCTTGAATTTATCGAAATTTCTCTAAAAATAGCCAATCATTGATCGTTGATTGGCCATTAATTCGAGCGCTGTTATTATACTTTTCAGAATTAAATCTTTCAACAAGAAATTTGCTTTTGTATTTGTTTCATTAAAGTTACTTTTATCACTGAATTTTTCTTGCTTCCACTTTTCTAAATACTGTCCAGTTCTCTCCCTACACTACATTAATATTATAAACCAGTCTCTGGCTGTCATCATTAATTTATAAACACTGCATTTTTATCCAAAAAATAGCAGTAAAAACATTGATTTTTTTCTAAAATAAAATTTTTTAACAGTATTTTAATAAAAACTTTTTTAACAGTTTTCAATGAATGTGTTGGTATATTTAATTAACCTTGGATTGACCCTAACTTCATGAAATATAAAACTTAGCATTATGTTGTATATCATATCTTCTTTTAAATTTTATCAAAATATTTCTGATGCAATTCTCTGAAAATTTTTATTTTCTTGTTATTTCTTTGTTACTGATCATAGAGCCATCCTTCATTCTAATTATTAACCACTTTGTTTCTGCTTTATGACCCATTACTGTGTATCTTTTACGACCCATTACTATGTATCTTTTATAACCAGTTACTATATATCTTAACTTTTGAAATATTTAAAAAGGCTTTAAATGTGATTAAACTGGTTATAATAAACAACTATTTATAGATGTTAGTTTTTCAAACTAACATCTAAGTTATAAAATAATTATGAATAAAATTTGAAAAAAAAAAACTTTTTTACTGCATTTTTCTTTGTCTTGTTTGTGTGTATAATAATAGTTATTATTTTTTAGTTAAAAGGTTAAAAACTTTGTTACTGAAATGTTTGGTGGAGGAAATAATTTAGAGAGTATCTTTTCTAACTGTTTGAATTTTGTTTTTTTAATTTTGAGCTGTTAATATTTGTTTGTTGAGTTTTAACTTAAAATATGCTCATTTGTAATGATTTTTATTTGTAAATATATTTATATATTATGAGAAAAATTTTAGGGATAAAATTAGTATTCATGCGTTTGTAAATGATTAATAGTAGGAATAAGAAATGATGTAATTAAATTAATTATTTTTCACTACTTCTCTGTGACTTCAGCAAATTTATGTGAAAGGACTTTAAAATACAATTTATTTTTTAAAGTTTGTTTTTGATTTAATTTCTTAACTTTGTAGAACAATTATTTAATTTGAAAGTAAGTTTTATTTTGATTTTTTTTAGTTTAATCATTTGAAAATATATCAAATAAATAATTATTTCATTAATTTCTTGATTTTCTTAGTTTGCTGCAAAAGATCTTGAGCGTAGCTCTAAAAAATGTGAAAAAGAAGAAAAAGCAGAGAAGTTGAAGTTGAAGAGAGTTGGTTTCATTTTATTACTTCAAAGCATATATAGTATATGAAATGAGTTTTTTTTTAAGTTATATTCACGTTTTATTTTTAGGCTATACAAAAAGGGAACATAGACGGAGCCCGCATTCATGCTGAGAATGCAATCAGACAAAAAAGCCAGGTAATAATCACTATTTATGATAACTATTTTATGTAATATGTAGCAGGGAGAATACTTGACTAATCCATACAAGAGATTTGAGAAAAATTGACTAATCCATACAAGTGTGAAACAATTAATGATAAACTGACTGAGTCATACAAGTGTGAAACCATTGTTAAAGGGATTCCAAGCCTCCAAGACATGATGTGTTCATATTAAAGAGAACAATAAAAAATAATGTTTGGGCTAAATTTTTTTGATTAGAACAAAAGAATAAATGTACTCCAAGAAAAAATAATTTTTTTATTTTAGTTGAAGCACACCTTTTCCGTTTGGTTGTAGGGCAAAAAGTCAGCATAATATAGACCGCAATCTACAAACTTGATAATTTATTCAAGCACGTTTTATTGCCTATAGTACATTGTGTCATTGATTTTAGTCGATTTTTGCGTTTGATTACTTAGTCGATCTTTTACATAAACAAAAAAAATTAAATTAGTTTTTGTTCATTTATTCTTTTATTTTAACTAAAAGAATTTAGCCCAAACATTTTTTTTTTATCATTCTCTTTAATATGATCACAACCTGTCTCAGAGGTTTGGGATCCATTTAAAATAAAAAAAAACATACTAAGCCACACAAGTGTGAAACTAAAAAAAACTTAAAAAAAATGACATTTTGTTTAGCTATTAACATTAACTATGTTAATAGCTAAACAAAACCCTTTTACTTTTATTTATTTTTTTAATAATTTTTTAGGCACTTCATTATTTGAAACTAGGTTCGCGTGTGGATGCTGTTGCACAAAGAGTTCAAACCGCTGTTACTATGAAAAAGGTTTTAATTTTATACCTATAAAATCAATTTAAAAAAATTGTTTTCAAATTAAACTTTAAATGGTTTGGTAAAATTATTTTTTTGTTGCTTTTGTTTTTAAATACTGGTTAAGGATTTAGACTTAGAATTTAATTTAAGATTTATGCCTAATAAATTTGAAATAAGATTTCAAATTTATTAAGCATATATATATAATTTTTATAAATATATATAATTTTTTACAAAATATTTGTTCAATATAAAATCGGGTAATAAAACATATAAATTATATGAAGCAAAAGTTAAAAGGTTTTAGAGCTGAAAATTTCAAAATGGTTTGATAAATAAGGAGAAAAAGTTCATTAAAAAGTTGCTCAAAATTTAGATGTGTTTGTTTATAATTAAAGTTAGTAAAGAATGTGATTACCGTGATTATCCAGTTTACAAAATAATTCTTCTTACCAAATCTTAAAGATTTTACATTATTAAGCTGTTAACCCATCAAAAGAACTCTTTTTGTAAGATTTTTGACTCTTTTTTTTTTTGTTAGTTTTCAAGCACATTCAATAGATTTTTTAATGAGCTATGGCTTGAATGAGCAATGGCTTTTTAAAAACCTATTTGATTATCTTACTACAGGCTTTTTTGAGAAGCATTATGTTGTGCACAATTTATGCATGAAATGGTGGTTTTGCCCAGGGCTTTGGAGCTGAAGTAAAAAAATTGGCTCTAGGCTTCATCCCAAACAAAATTATTGGCTCTAGTTCCGGCTCTGGATTGGTTCCAGGAAAAATAAATCAAAAAAACAAAATATTATATAAAATATCAGGTTTAAGTCAAGATTGCTTGATATAAGCATAAGTGCAGAAAATAGCCTCTCTGCACTGTGAGAAAGCCATACAAATGACTACTCTGCACACCTATGTATCATTTTTGGGTATTCAACAATACTTTCAAAAGCTGATTTCACTTTTAGACATTCCTTTTCTTTCATAACTTTAAAGTCATCTATGCAATTTGTATTCAAAGTGTTTTTTATCTAAAAAACTAACTTTTGATTGCACTTCCCTTTTTTTCTTTTTGATTAAGCTTTTTAATTTTCCAAACTTATCTTCTTTTGTGCTAATGATTCAGCTGTATTTCTTATTTCTTGACCTAGTGTTATATTTTTGATATCTTTTTAATATTTTTATTTGCTATTGCTTTTAAGTCTTGTTTTACTGATATATATGGTTCTCTTCTAAACGTATTTTACATCTAGCATCAACATAAACTTAAGCTAGAAATATATTATGAATTTCTTAGTTTCTTCACATCATACCGGACCTTTGCCTAAAGTTGGTTATGTATGTTATTTTAAAGCATCATAATTAGCTAGCTGCAAAGTTTAACCAATGCAGCACATAACTTGAATTTTGATATATTTACACCATTCTCTGAGAAAAATT